CAGGGGCACAATCTACATCCATTAGAGTTCAGAGCATGTGAGGTCAGGAAATCCTACTAGCAAAACCTACTGTCTGACCTCAGCAGAGCTGCAATTAGGATGAGAGTCCTCATTGCTTTTATGATTATAAATTCTCTTTCTGTATTACAGGAGAAGGCCTTGACTTCACTGGATCAGGAAGAAGTAGAGTGATCATGAACGAATTCATTCTCCAGGGTGCAGGAGCCTTCAATTAAGGAGCACTCAGGACCTTACCACAATCCAGTGCCAGGATGATTGGTGGCTATATTAATTTTTTTCCTGTGGAAGGCTGGAGTGTTGTATGGTTAACTCTGATGGGTACACTTGTGCTTTCTTTTAGTTGGTATCGATGTAGAAATGTTCTCCAGTGGATATGCAGGCACCTCTAACTTCCCTGGAGCATTCAGCCCCATGGATAGTGACTTTAGGTAACTTTCTGACTAAAGATGCTTACACTGCTCCTATAGATGGATGTTGAAGTGCAAACTGGGGTATTAAGGTTGATATTTCAAATCTGATCTATCAAAGCACACAGTCAAGAACCACTGGACTGTGATCAACCATCAACCAACTGAGACAAGTGCTGCCTCCTTTGTGTGATTCACAGTGCTACCATCTGTCATCAGTCCCACAGGCTCTTCTAAGAAGACACACCTACACACTGCTGCCAGTTTCCTCTCTCCTCCCCTCTTTCTCTGATTAGATTCTCCAAAGCACTGATATCAATTTTATACTCCTGAAAGGGACCGACTCAGGTAAATGAGGGCTTTTTATTCCAATGTCTTCCTCATTCCCCCAAGAAAAAAGACTTGATTACTTACAGATGCTTTTAATACGAACTCTTCTGTTTTAAACCTCTTCAAAGCACAGCACAAGAGATGATAACTTTTACAGCACTATTTTGCCCATCAGTGTGGAAGATTCAACTTCACGTGAGCAATTAGAATCCAAGAAATGTGAAACTTACCCTGCCACTCAGTTTTCCTCCTTATTGAAGGGGAGCTTGATGCTATGTGCAGTCTCAGGGATTTCTCCATAGACTGAACTGGCCCTTCAGCCATTGGAAAAAAGTGGTCTGATTAGAGTTCTTGACTCTGCATGTGTGACAGTGGAAGGAATAACAGTGCATCATCTGGAGTAGAGGCAGACGCCAGTGAAACTATTCATTACTTTGAGGCTTGGTTTGTGGCCCATTTTGTTGATGACTTTTGGATTTCCATCCCCTGCAAGTCCTCAGTGGAGAAAGAGGGAACTCGGGACATCTGCTGAAGCTCTAAAACCATGGCATTGCTCCTGTGGCTTTCCAGTACAAGCAGGTAATGTTTCCTGAGGAGGCTCTCTGCCTTTCAGAAAGATGCCCTCCCTTTACAGGTGCTCATTCTGTGCATGCAAGTATGCTAACTACACAGATTGTGTGAAGGAGCTATTAACAAATCATGATTTTGAATGAAAGGGATAAAAAGCATTTTAACCAGATGTGTAAAATATGTAATCCTGTCAAAGATCAAGTATTTTTCTAATAAACCTTTCATTTTCAACTCATGCTTAGCAAACTCTGCCCCTGTTTGGACAGGTATGAATGAAATAAAAGATGGAGATGGTGGAAGTGAGTTACCTTTGTTTCCCTTCTTCAAAGGAGCTGGGAAATACTTGATACTAGCCTGTAAATCTAAGATTCCCTTACTTTTAAGAAAACCCACTCTTTCTGATCACACATGCCCAAAGAGGGGATGATTTGTTGTGGAGAGGCATGAACTTACTCAGAACTTCAAAATATTGTTCTTCTCCTTCCATCTCTTTCTCCAACATCTTTTTCCTATGGAAAAAAAATATGAGGCATTGCACCCTCCCACACATCAGAGGCTGCTGCTTTCTTATAAATTCAACTGGTTTCTAAAGCAGGCTTGTTAGCTAGATCTTGGCTCTGAAGAACTACATTTTAATTGGACCAAGACTAGAATCAGTCTGCTGGCATACACCAGTTGGGCACTAGCTTATGGAAGCAACTTTTAGTTTTTTTTTCTACTTGAATAACAGTTTTCTATTTAGCAAGGTGCAAATTCTCCATTTGTGAGTGTAGTTTCCCAGCTGAAGGTTGAGCAGCCCTAAGCCTACACTTGCTCCTCATCCCCCATTTGGTACCTCAGGGCCAGTTTCATGCCAAGAGCAGAGCCAACAGCAAGATAGACCCTCTTGAATGGGAACACAAAAACCAGCCAGCTGAGAAAGGATATTCAGCTGGTTTTCATTTTTCTCTGGGTTGTTAAGAGTTTTTTTTTCAGTAGCAGTAGGGGCCAGCATAGGAAATAAGCCAAGTGAGCTGTTTCTTATTTAGTCATTCTTACAGCAGTTAGATTTTAAGAGCAATCTAGTCCTTTTATGGCAGGGATCTGTGGTAACCTCCTTGCTGGAACGCTGGCTTTAGCTTACTCTAAATGCAGACACCAAGGCTGAGCACTGAGCTGCTGCTGCTGCTGCCTGGCATGAATTAACAAAGCTCTACTACTGGCTTAACCAGTCTTCATCTTGCTGCCTCTTTTTAATCTGTGATGACTAAACTAGCAGGAGGCAAATAGATGAGGTTTGGGTGTGTATGGAAGTGGAAGGGATGTTCTGAGGGAGGGCGACCGGCCGTGCCTTCACTTTATATGAACCTCTGACAAGACATTCCTCTGTGTTTAGCTGTAGGAGCCCCTGGTGCCAATTTGGGGTGTTACTGTAAAAGATAGAGAGGATTACTGTTAAAACAAGAAACATCACTTGGGATTTTTCTTGTTCTACATCTACCCAGGTCAGCATCACACTATTTGTTATATCCCCAAGCTAAATCTCAAAATGAGCCGATTCCCCTGTGCATTAAGGTTGTATTGACAGAGTTTGGTCCTGTGCAGGTGGTGCTGGGATTTATTTTTAAAGGCCTCTAGAAGCAGCATGCAGCTGCCCTCTGTGCTGTGTTAAAGGGAGTCAGCCCACCAGGGCAGCCTGAGTCAGTGCCCAGGGTCTGCTGTCCCAGCCCAGTGTCACCCTTTGAGAGCTGGATCTCCAGCAGCAAATCCAGCCTGCCCAGGTTCTCATGCCCCACAGTGCCTAAAGCATCAGATAAGAAGATCCCACTGTCTATATGCACACATGCTGCACAAAGGACCTCTGCCCCAGCCCAATGTCCCTTGCTCCAGTGAGTAAGAAGAAGGCAGAAATAGTAGAAAACTGTTGAGAACCTTTGCCCAAATCCAAACCTTTTACTTGTCTGTTACTTACCCTTGCTTCAGCTCTCAGAGGGCTAGATTTCTTTTGGCTCTCAGGAAACTCTGGTGAATGCAGTAGTTGTCCAGAACAGGCTGATGAGCTACATGGAGGCATCCTTGGGTCTTCTCAAGGCACCACATGGTCTCCCTCCTCTTAAGCTGCTTCTCCTTTCTCTCCTTCCCACAGGTAAGTAGCTGCTATTGCCAATAGACACATCTGAGTAGACAGAAAAGCAGCAGGTGGACAGCAGGTGAATTGTGGCAAAGCACTGAGGGGAATAGCACCAGAGACCCCACTGCCTGAGTGGTGGATTTACTGCCTCTGACCTGTCTGTGTAGATGAGTAGTGTGCTGCTCACAACCTGGGACAAGTTGAGGGCTAAAAGTTCACAGCTGGGGTTTCATACTGTGAGTAAAGGGTGAGAACCAAGCAGAAAACATGAGAGCTGATTCCTTGCTTGTTTGTTACCTGCAGCTGTGATGCTCTTGCCAGGGAAGGTGTAAAGCCCAGACACAAGACAGAAATTCCAGCTCTACCGTACAACACCTAGCACAACAGGTTGTGGGGAGGGGTTAGGAGATGTCCTGGGGTTGGAGCAGCTGTGATCTATCCTAGTCAACCCACAGGAGAGGTTTCTCTTGTCTCCCATGACTTGCTCCACTGTCTATCTGCTGCAGCCAAAGCAGAAAGTTTTTTGCTGTGCAGATCCAGAGATGATGCATTTTCCTACCTGGGGCAGTAGAAATGATGGGCTGCAAAAAGATTTATGGCTGAAGTCAGCATCTTTGCTGTCTGATAGGATCTCTATGCTGACTTCTATGATAGCCTTCCCCTCATCGTTCCACCCGTGGGTCACTTTTGCCTGGTTATGGTTCTTTTCTCCAAGGGGAAGCTCAGATACCTCCCAGCTAATGCTAGCATGCTAACAGGGTGAGCCAGTCAACCATCACTGGATGCTGGTTTTAGAAGTTAAACACCCAGAGTGGAACCTTCTGTCTGCCAGTGCAGTGGTTCTGCTTTAAACATTCATGACACACAGCACTGCAATGGAAAGTTTAGGTTATGCTTATGTTATCCCTAGGGGTCCAAACCTGGATCTCTTTCACACGCCAGCTAGCTTTTCTAACCTTTGTCAACAGGGACAATACTGCCACTGGGATAATACCACCAGGATCATCTCCCTGCTCCCTTCCAGCCCAAAATGCTCTATCTGGGGAAGCATCTGCTAGACTGGTCCTGTTTGCCAAACAGCAGAGGAGAGCCTGCACTGAGAAGGTCCTCACTGCTCACGCTGAGGCCTCTTCTTGTGTTGGGTGGCAGAAATGCAGGCAAGTAGGGGACTATTTTTATTAAGCAAGGTCTGAAGGAAGTCTTTGGTGATGCCAGCGGTGCCTAAACGTTCAGTGTGGTGAAATGAAAATCTTTTGCTGGGCCCAGGCTCTGGGAGCAGCCAGGGGCAGGGGTGTGAACCACATGGGCTCACAGGAGAGCCACACACATGCTCTGTGTTTTAAGCATGCTTGGCTTCAGCTGGCTTGGGCTGTTCTCCTTCATCAGACTTGTGGCTGTGTGCAGGGAAAGGTGCCTTCCTGTGAGCACCTGGGCTACAAAGATTTTCTGTGGGGCGAGGGTTACAGGAATTGCTGCAGGCATTATCATCACCAGAGAAAAGGTGAGGGTCATCTTGTGGCTGACCTTTTCTGGCAAAGCCATGGAAGGCTGGTAATAGAAGCCAAGTCTTCTGCTTTCCCTTGCCAGCCTCAACATCTAAACGCCCTGAGTGAGCACCTCAACCTCTCCTAGGAAAACTCTGAAAGATTAACTCCTTAGGTGGTGTTCCAGGGTTTTGAAGATTGTTGTGGAAGATGGGTGTCAAGTTTGCCTTCCATATTTTACCCTTTCAGGTAAATGCAGATCACTTGGTT